AAGCAAACAAGTGAAATGGTCTCAACATTTTTTCCTTTGCACATGGCTTTGGCAATAGGAATGCAATGGCTTTTCCCTAGGCACCAATCCAGAATAGAGAAACAGAGGTGGAAGGCTCACTTCTTGGCCAGTGGTGAATACTCTGGTTTTGGATGTGAGTGACCAGATTCCAGGGACAGATGTGACCTGTGTTCTTCAGTGTCAGGGCAGCCCTGATCAGTAAGTGTTAGAGGGAAGTGGAAAAGTTCCTCATGCACTCCATGCTTGTCATTAGACTTGGACCCCATGAGTATTAATTAGCCTCAGTTTTGCTGATTAGGATAGTCATTAGTTAATGAAGACAGCTGAGGTTTGGTAACAGGTCCCAGGACCAGGAAATGGGAATGATCTCAGGCAACAGAGATGAAGAGAATCCCACCTGACAGTGACAACAAGGTCTTCAGCATCATTTCCAGGTCCCCCAGAAGAAAGATTAGGGAGGATCTGTGTGTCAGCCTCATGTTGGCACTGAGACTCTTGCTAGTACAGCAGGAGCAGAATTGCCACAAAAGACTGCTTGTGTCCTATCCCTTCCTGAAAGATAAATAAATTGTTTTCTTTTTCACACTAGAAATACTTCTAATTACTTTTAATTGAGGTGCACTCATCAGGTGGTATAAATGTCTTGGTCACTGAACACTTGCAGAGACTTCAGATCTAGTGTTAGTTCCTTGTGCCAGTGATGCTGTAGCCTGCACTTCTCTTTTATCCAGGAATCTGGGTTTGGGCTTCATAATTAAAATAGCAACTGAAGCCTGGAAATCTGATCATCTCAGGAGGTAAAACCACCCCGTTATTTGGCTGTCATATGTTACATTCACAAAGGAAGAACCTGGCTTTGACAGAAGTAAACCTTATTACCTTATTACTATGTTAAAGCCTAAAAGTTTGCAAAAATGCATGGGGGAATAAATCATTATTAAAGTTTTCTTCAGTTTTGTGGTATCTGTGATTTCTCAGGAACATTTACAATGGTCTGGAAATGTAAAAATGGAGAACACATGAACATGCAGTCATGGGACAACCCTCCCCCTGGCTGCTTGGTAGCTGGTACATAGCAATGAATACAAATGGATATATATGTGTTTAAACTTGTCTTTTCCACTTCTGTCTAGTAAAGTAATTGCTGGAAAAAAAGGGAATTTTATTATTTCATATTTGTGGCTATGGTTAATTTAGTTTTTGTTGATATTTAATGTTTCAGGTTGGTTGTTAATATTGTTTCCTTACTACTAAGTAGCTCAGAGTCTGGGCTCAGTTTGTGCCTTTAGTAATTATTGTTAAGTTTAAAGAAATTAAATGTGGGAAGTGAGGAAAAGGCAGCATTTCCTGAAGCAAGATTCCTGTCTCTTTCTCATCATTTGTTGTGTGTTTATTTGCCTTTCCATTTTCCCATGTTGATGTCAATATAGAAGGAAATATGATTGCTGAAATTGAGGGGTTTTAGTCTTTGAAACATAAGGATTAGAGCCTGTAAACACACTAAAGATTTCCTAGTCTTATTTTGAAACCTTTCATTGACTTCAGCAGTAGCAGAATCTGGCTTCAACTGCATTTGGATTATGTGCGCTCCACAGGAAATGTTTAATATTGTGTGCAGCAAAGTTAAGAATCAAAGTGTGCCTTGCTTTGAAAGGAAAAGGGAATTTTGTTGGAAAACAAGAACCAGACTCTAGCTGCAGTTTCACTGGTGAGATGAATTGTGGCACAGTGTCCAGGCCTTAGAACTGACAAATATTCATCACCCCAAAGCCAGGTCTTTCCTCTAGCTCCTGTTTCCAGATTTTCTCTCTTTTATATATATATATATACACACACACACATATATATATGTACACACACACATTTATTTTTTAACTTTTATTTAATATTTTACATATCCTCATTTGAAATGGGCACTAAATGAAGTTTAAAATCTAAGGCTAGGGACTTTATCTTGAATGCCATGTAGATGGTTTCCATACCTTCATTATTTTTGTTGTTGTCGTTATGATATTTGCTCCATATACTCCTGACTCTCTTCCCCCTCTATGGAAAGTTTCTTTTAGTACTCTGGAAATAATGGGTCACAGGTGGATTGACTTGAGGATGTTAAGGGGAGCAGCTCTGTGGCCTTATCAACTCAACCTGTGGGATGATGGCTTTAGCACAGTGTTCTGGGTCTCTCAGGCTGTTGGGTTCTTTGCTGCAGCAATACAAACCAAACAGCATCTCTCTACAGCAGAAGGCACTTCTCTTATGGTAGGCATCCCCAGAGGTCTTAATAATGTGTAATCCAGTGATATCTTGAATGTGAGGGTGACTCTTTGGTCTTTGGCGGAGGGCTGTTGCAGGCATGGACTATGGATGCTCTGTGTGCTGAGGAGGTGGCTGGCTGCCTGCAGTGGTGTTGCCTTTGTCTCTGGTTAGTCCATTCCTGAAGTCAGGTGTGATTTCTGCTAGCCATCTGAGCACCAGTAATTGTGGCACCAGTACACATGATTCTTGCATCTCAGCTCTTTGCCCAGGTTTGTTTCCCATGCACACTCCTTGTGCTGCTTATAGCCAAAAACTTCATGATACACAAATATCTGTAGCCAAGACCTTATTCTTCATATTTATGAACTCCCAAGTGCCCAAAACTCTGTGAATTTTAAAAAAACTTAGTATCAAAATTGAATCTTCATTTTTTCTGAGTAGTTTCTTGCCAATGAGATGTGATGTTTCTCAAAAAGATATGTGGCATACTTTGTAATTACTGATTCTAAGAAAAGCCTGATGAAGGCAGGCAGACTATCTCCTGGTTATAAATAGCTGAAAGAATCACTGATCATTCAGCATAGTTTACAAAAAAACACACCTCAGATTCTATCTCCTCTCTATGACCTGTTCAGACACCTCTCTGCAGACCCAATGCAAGCAGCCTACATGTAGTGGTTAGGGTTTTCTAATGATTCATATCTGCCTGAGCCCTGAAATCACTATTGGGTCGTTATTCAGACTTCACTCAGAGGTAATTCCCATTGCATGGTGGTGCATCTCTGGTAGCTGTTGCAACTCCCAGCTTTGAAGTGTTTTCCTTTTCCTTTGTGACAGCACCATCCTTTCTGCTGCAGTGACTCCTGGTATTGGTGTTTCCTTTTTCTTATGTTGAGGAATTGGTTTGAGCTAAACGCTTAAGAGTTGTGACTCCTCATAAAGACATTCTGCATCTCCTGCTTGTAGTTCAGTGACTACGAACTACAGCAACCAGGAGCAGATACATGAACAAAGAATGCATTCTTGCTTTTCTTCTTTCTTAAGTTATGGGAAAATGCTCTCGTACAACCTGCCTTGGTCACCACAGAAATACAATGTTTCTGGGCATGGAAGTGGATGGTTTTTATTTTGGAAATGGGTGGAAGAGGGTATTTCTGCAGCTCTAAAGAAGTATCTTCATCTTCCCCTCTTTGTCAAGTCCTCACTCCCCCACTCCTCTCATTCTGCAGAACTTTTGGGAACTCTGAATGGAATAGCAGCTGATGGATTGTTTTGCTTTCTTTGCACAATTTCAGTAGCTTGGAGGATAAGCAGATGTATACAAGCCATCATATAGGCGTTGCTAGCTTGAATCCCGATGGTCAAAGTCAAGAATGAGGGTAAGAAGTAGAAATCTATGTTCCAGCTTTGCCAGGTGTCCCCAGCCAGATCAGAATGTCTGTACATCCTATTTCTATGTTTGAAATAAATGAAAATTGGCAGTTCTATTCAAAGAGTCTATTCTGAAGTTTTATTTACTTCAAATCTTCAGGCAGCAAACACTGCATAGAGGCAAAGAATTTTCTTTCTGCTTGTTTCTCTGTGCCTGATTCCAGGAAGAAAATTCTACACTTGCCTGGTTCCTGCTGTTCCAAAGCTTGCTGACAGTAGGAAAGATTTGTCCATAAACCTATATATGCATAATTATATTAACAAGAGCTGTTCCTGTGACAGCAGACACAGCAGTGGGGTAACACAGCCGGTGGAAATCCCCTCCAACGTTATAAAACATAGCAAACTCAGTGCTGAGGTAGCTCCATTGCACTGCCGGACCCTACTGCCGTGGTCTTGTTGCATTAAAAAGAAATAGAACAGAAATCAACAGCATCTGTTCCATAGCTGTGTTGGGTAAACTTCAAAGGGTAGAGCACAGCTTAAGCAAAGAGCATCGTATCCTTTCTGTTGTTGTGGCTCTGGGGATTTTGGGTGTGAAGAGGTGCGGTCCCTGATTGACAGGACATGGCTGGCAAAAGCCTGGAGCACAGACACAGTTGCACCAGCCAAACCTGCGGATTTTGGTTGTGGGGAAAGGTGGGGCTGAAACAGACTCCACTGGTGAAATCTCAGCTTTAGCAATACCCTCCCCATCCCTGTTAGAAACGCTTCTGCCATGCAGCTGTCTCAGCCAGGCACTTACAAGGCAGAGGTGGCTTTGCTCAGGCAGCTGCAGAAGGGAGCTTTTTAGTACACAAAACATTTTGTCAGAGTAATGTCTATTTTCTTTCCTTTCAGTTTTCCCAATCTGTTGCTGAGAGGCTGCTGCTGTAAGTCACAGCTGGGCAGGTAACCATCTGTTAATGAGTAATTCTTGTGTCTGATATTGGCATTGATCTGGTTCGTGTTTTGCAATGTAATGTCATCTCCTGAGTGGGCTTGCTTGAAGTTTCTTGTTATTGCTATACAGTGCTTTTAATTAGCTCCTGAAGGGAAGGAGATGAGAAACGTCTGGATGGTAACTGGTCTCTGATTGCAAGCAACATTGGATCGGCTCCTCCAGAGGTGCTCTTAAATGCTTACTGAACAATTAGTGATCATTTCTAAGGGTCAGGCACTTTGTAAACTCCTCACTCCCTGTGGTTTAGGAGAGTATCTTGCTACATGGCATTCCCATCTACCCACAAAGACCCACAAAGACATTAATGATTAACAATGAGAACAGCTCTGCTTACTTTGAAAACTAAAATACCCTAAAGTCAAGTAAATCACAGTCTCTTGCAAAAGCTCATTGCTGATTCACCCTCCTGCCTCAGCCCAGCCTTGGAAGTTTCCCTCTGCCAGACAAAACCTTTGTGAGAGGAGAGCAAAGATGAAAGTCTCTGCTCCTTTCACTGTTGTCTTGGCTCTGACTCTGAGCAGTGACTGTGCAAGGATGGTAAGTCTGATTCTTCTGTTTTGGAATGGTGGATCACCCATGTGCTGACTGGCAAGGCAGTGCTGCCTTGGGGCTGGATGAGTGAAGCTGCTGACCAGATCGAAAGGAAGACTGCTTCAAATGAAAAACAGGGATTTGCTAGGTGAAGGCTCGCAGCTGTGGTGAGAGGGGGGCCTGTAGGAGGGCTGGTCCCATGCTTATCTGCAGTAAAAGAGATAGCTTACATCCATGCCCTGCTAGGGAGGAAAAACAGGACGGGAGGAAGGACCACAAAAATTGAAACGCTTTGAAAAAGCATCTCAGAAGTGTGCTGACACCAGCACATACCTGCAGTAGCATGGAAGGAGAGCTGTTACCCTGCCAGACTCTACTGCTACCTGGTAACCTAGCATGCCGGCTTAGGTAACCATCTCCTTCTTTCCAAACCTCTCTGTTTTCATGCCGTGGCCTCCAGTGTTTCCACTGTGTGCTTTGTGTCTCTTTTTGGGTATGTCTGTGAGGCACCTGCAGCACTGCTGAGCATGGCTGTGGTGGTTTGGGTTTGCTAGCCTGCTTAAATGCCACCATGGCCTGGCATCCACCGTGGACTCTCAGCGCAGTAATAGTCTGGACCCTCAGTTGTGTGGCTTTATGATTAGCTTTATTTCACTAGTTAGGTTGAAACTAGCTCACATATAGTTGAATGATGTAATCCTAATTATCCCAGTGAAGTGCAGAAGGACCTCCCTCGATATCGCAGGTGGGAGCAGAGAGGAATACTCACAATGCTTAGGAAGAGATCGGTCCTGGCTAAAGCTGCTGCAGTCTGTTCAGTGCTGGCATAGTCAGCAAAGAGTGCAAAAACCTTTTCTTCCTCAGAACTGTTCAAGCCCTTCCTATATTTATTAGCAACAGATTTGTCTTACCACTTACTATGTCCCCTATTCAGTTCTAGGTTCATGATGTGCTGCTTCTTTGACTGTTTTTATGATGTTTCTATTTTGCTATAGCTCAGCTGTCAGCACCTTTGCTGGCAGCAGCACTTTATGTATATTACCATTTTAAATTATTTCCTGTGGTTTAAAATCAGCTCAGCCCAGTGCTCTGCATTTGCTGATCAGCAAACCCAAATAAAGCAGGGGTTGCTTTTTTAACTAATGCCCTGGAGGTTACAGCTAAGTGGCAGGAAAAGCCAAATGCTGGGATGTAATTTGTAACTGTGAACTGGCTCCAGAATGCATGTATGCTTCCTGCCGAGAGAAACAGGAGATGTGTCCCTCGGCAATAGAAAGAAGGAGAGCTTTGGCCTTTTTTGTGCTGTGCTGGGTCTTACTGGTTTAACAGAGACGTTTCACGAGCCAGTGTTTATTTATGCTCTTTCACCAGACTGTGCTCCAGCAAAAATCACACACAAATAATGAGATTTACAGAAGCATTGGAACAAACACAATTTCAGGGCACCCTGGAAAACATGTTTGTCCCTATAGGATGGTTCCCAGAGTGAATTTGTCTCTACAATCCACATTCTCTTTTTCTCTTTGTAGCACTACAAATCTGGGGCAGGAAGAGGCTCAAAACATGAGTTCATTCACCCACAAGGTACAAAGTCAAATCCAATAGGTTTCATGACAGTAAGAATGATCTGCCTGTCTGTATCCATGCTGTGCAAGTCAGTAGTAAGCCTGTCTTTGTTTCAACATGAATAAGGATTATGGAATGGTTATGCCAATATTAGTTTATGTGTACAGGGGAATTTGGGATTAGTTTAGGAAACTCAGGTAATTTTCCTTCAGGTGCAGATTAATGGGAAGATGCTGATGGTATTTAAGTTTTTCTGAGCTGGCATGGTTTATATTCACTCATAACACGGTGTGGCTGTAGATGTGCAACTCCTTTTGTTTTAATCAGAGCTGTGTCTGCCCTGTGACTTTAAAGCACATAAACTCTTTTTACATGTAGGTTCAGTTTCTACAACAGCTCTTGATCTTTTGGTGAGAGAAGGTTTTGAGCCCTGTGCAATTTGCTGGGTTGCATTTGTTTCGATGGCACCAAACAATCAGGCATCCTGTCAGATTGGGCTGTATGTGGGCATTGCAGACTTTCATTTTTAAAGCTTTTATTGTCCTGAGCTTTTGCTGTTAAAGATTACATGAATTGGGCTGCTGGTGGTGCCTTTATAGCTTAGAACAATCTTTAATAGCCTTTGGGATGCAATATGTCTTCTAAATGAGGATGTATTTTCACAGCTCTCTTAACTCATTATAATGAGCAGTATCAGAGAAGGTAGATATGAACCTTTGCTTAATTAGCTCAGACAATGAGCACCAGGTTTGACAAGGGGATAGCAGAGGGGCTGGCAGTAGCTGTTTCTCACTGACAGATAAGGGGATAGTTAGGGCAGATGGAGTGATCTATTTCCAACTGATTATGAAGAGTTTGGATAAAGGAATATGTTAATTTTTCCATAATGCTAATAAATGGCCTTAGCAGCTCTTTGAGATGACGAGTCTGGTCTCATGAGGGTTAACAGATATCTGAAAGATGTGCAGGAGACCCAGCTATCACGGAAAGGGTAAGCTCAGGACAAGGAGCAGTCATACATCGTCACTGAGAAATGGAGATGCACTGTGCTGCCGGCTCGCTTGTAAGCCCCATTTCTCTTCTGCAGCAGTGGTTGGCTTCCCATTCACACTCCTGGCTCTCAAAACTGATTGCTTTTAGTTTAATGGTTAAATAAGCTCTGACAGTTTTTCATTGTCTCTTTTATCTTCAGTCTGTCTCATTCTCCAGACTCATGTTGAGGGATTTTTTCCTGCTAGACTCCCACCACCCTTCCTTAGACTGCCATCACTGATGTAGTGAACATGAAACTTGTCCTTTTTAGACACTGGTGTCATTGATTTCTCACCAGTTGTAAGGGATCTCCTTATTCCAAAGGGAGGGTGGTATGATCAAAACTCTGTCTTCACCCAGCCTTTAAACCCTTCTTTCTCCCTACTGTTCCTATTTCAGTTTGTACTGTCTGGTTCCTTAATTGTCTTAAACAGATGTTACGATGTGATATGGAGCCTGAAAGGATGCTACTTCAGAAATCGATTTAATATGCTGTTACGATACTACGTAATTAGAAATGATAATTGCAATTAATGAATATAATTGGCATTTGCAGTACCAGCAATTGCAATATATTTTGAGCTGAATCGATCTGAGATCTTTATTCTACTGCAGAGCACATTAATCTTTCTTGATTCAGTCATTATGTGGGATTTTAAGCCTCTTTTTATGCACTAGAAATTGCAGAGACAGGAGTCCAAAGTACAGATGGAAAATGTGAAGATTTCTATCTTCATAATTTGAAGTAATAACATGTAATGTATGTACCTGTGGGTTGGTGATTGGCCGCATGATGAGTTTTTATTCTTGTATTTCAGTGTTTACGGAGGATGGAAATATATGCAAATTTCCTTTCCGGTACGGTGGAAGGTTTTATCACTCGTGTTTATCAAATCTATTTTCCCAAAAGAAATGGTGAGTTAACATTGCTCATAAATGAAGAGAGCATTCAAAGGAAAATGTCATCCTTTTAGTGTGTTAATCTTGATTCTAGAATAATTAACTTGAGCTTAATGTTGTGCCCAAGGAGACCCATGCAGTTCTCTTGCTCATAGTCATGGCCTTCAGGTCATGCTCGTGCTCAGAGGGGAGAGAGCCCAGTGATGGGGTCTCCAGGGCCACAGAAAGCTCAAGAACCCTGGAAATGTTTCCTTCTTGGCCTTCATATTGGAGTTGCAAATTACATGAGTGGGAAGAGCTTGTACAGAAAGGGCAGGACTGATGAAATGACCTGATGGAAACTCTCTGCTGAGGGAGAGATACAGACATCTGTAATAGATGACACTTGGTTAAGGAACTGTTTGATTTGTGAGGGTCATACTTGTACTGCAGCAGACATCATCTGATTTTTGAGGAAAGTTGGGGTTTTTTTAACTCCATGTCTCTGATTTCTATCCAGATTGGCACTAAATCCCTTTTGGACAGTTCTGTAGTAAGAGGTGAGGTATTACTCCTGTTTGCCGGGTAATGATTTATTCTAGTAGTGTGTTAAAGTCAGGTCTCCTTATATTGGACAAAGGTTATTCTTTTATGTACTCAGAAGTTGTTAAAAGCATTCATTATTCAGTTTGCGGTGGGGGTAACCAAGTGGAAACCCTACTGAAGCAAGCACTGAACAAACAAGCCTAACTTTGCAGATGAATCTGTCTCATGGACATATATTAAGGGAAATCAAAGGCAACAAAGCAGGGAATATATGGGTACCAGTAATGTGAAAATATATGCACAGCTGAACTATGTGAAAGGCATATAATTAGACGTTTCCAGTGTGGAAATATTTTATAGGATTACTTTTACCTGTCCATGCAGAGCAGAAATCTCATTTTTTTTTATACTGGGATATCCCATTTTTTATACCAGGATATCTAATTTTTTCATGATCTGTGTCATAATTCTGATGGCGAATCTGTTTGAAGTTTAACTGCTAGTGTAATGTAAACAACACAGCACATACCCTCTAACACAAACAGACATAGGGCTTCAGTCTAGGAGACCACTTCTGAATTTCTCTGGCATCCATAGGTACAATCCAGATAAGAAAACCCTCCAGGAAAGAACTGAAGAATATCTCAACTAAGGGAAGAGAACAGGAATAATTTTACAGTGTGAATCCTGTCTTGGATGAACTGTAGTCACAAAGAGCTTGACTTTTGGATCCACTTGATTTCATGCAATGTTTAAGATGATCTTGTTAATACATGACTCTGTGGATTTGTTTTTAGCCAGCTGGGCCACAGAAATGTTAAAAGAAGAAGGAAAACCTGTGACTGGCTGGATCCAAGGTTATAGTACATGCACTTCAGAGCTGATCTTGGGCAACTTGCTTCCATGCTTCCAGGTTTTTCAAAGCCATTTACAAGTGGGGAGAGGAGGAGGAGCACAGCTGGAGCTGTTTGGTTTTGACAGGCCATTTCACCCCATAGCTGACCTGGCCAGTGTTTACTCTTTTTTCATAAACTAAAAGCAGCCTAAATGTGTGACTTCAGGCACGGAGATGCCGGGAAAAGAACCCTGAATAGCGGCTGGGAAACTGCTCCATGAATTTTTGTTTGACTTGGCACTAGCCCGTGCTGGACTGATGTTGAATAACTGATCCCAGGGCACCTGGCAGGCAGCAGGCAGGGCAAGGCTTGTGCCCTTCCTGCTCCTGCCTGCTTCCAGCTGCTAGTAGGGATGGAGATGATGGAAGTCTGGATGTAACCTTCCTCTTTGGGAGCAAATAAAAGGAGACCAGAGCAGAAGAGTGCTAGATTATACATACACTTAATGGCTCCTTGTCCTTGGTCCTCAGGTCATACTTTAAGACAAGACTACAGTCAGGACTTAATAGTGTAAGCCAAAGCCTGCTCCAATAGGTTTTAATTTTATTACATATATTCTCATACTGCATATTACACAGATAGTGTGTGCTAGCCCATCATATTCAGCTCAATAAAAAGATAGTCCTTCAGCAGAAAGCATAGCAGAGCAGTGTCTGTCTTAATACAAATCTGGACATCGTTAATGATAGCTGCTCTGTTGATTCAAAGGGCTAAATGTGAAAGGCAATCAGATGTGACCTTGTCCATTTGTAACATTAAATGTTTCAATATAAGTCAGTCCTGACTGCAGAAACCTCTCCCTACTTTCTCTGAGAGCAATAAACAAGTTGTATCTTTATAAATATTTATTGAAAATATAGGAAAGGAGAGTAAATAATTGCAGTATTCAAATAACAAACTTCCTTTAACAGCATCCTGTATTGCATTTCCCTGTAATTGTAATCTGTCTTCACAGATAAATTCCTATTTAGTGGCCTCTTAACAGGTAATAAAGATGTCATGTAAGCTTGCCTGTTGTGTTGAAGAGAAAAAAAATTAGCTGTAACAGTAGTTAAAGTTCAGAGTATCTCCAGAAACTCAAAGCAGTTTAGGGACATACAAAATGGGAATGTGTTTAACACCCATGAGAGCAAATGGGGAGTGTGGTCTGCATTGCAGCCAAACCGTGGCTGAAGGAATGCTGCCAGTGCCCTGCCCCTGTGTCCCATGACGGGATGTGTTCCCTGAGATCCTGCACAAGAGGAATAGTGGGAGCAGACTTTGGTCAGATTTTGTCTGTGAAGGTGTTGACTGACACCTTGGAGGTGTCTTATCCTGCACTTGAGTGATGGATGTGAAGGTCCCCGTTGTGCCAGGCTGTTTTGGGTGGGCTTGGGTCTGTATAGGAATGGCGTGATCTTACCATCTTCTCTAGGATTAGGAAGATTAGTTATTTTGGCACAGACTGAAAACCATGCAAAGGAGAGCTTTTTGGCCATTATAATTGGATTACAAGATAGAGAGTTTATACAAGTCCTGGGAAGGAGAAGGACATGTGGGTTGAGCCAGGAGATACCAAGTGTCAGGCTCTGGATTTTTCTGGTGCTCATTGTCATTACTCTGGTGCTCTCAGGCAAAGTCTGGCCATCTCCTGGTCAGGACAACACCTGAAGTGGGTCTGAGGGAACCTCCAGACCTGGAACACTGAGAGCACCAGGTATGATCTTGGAGCTCTTTCTTTCCACCAATCTGCCACTAGTCTGAGGCTTTGCTTGCTCTCCAAAATGTCCTGTTATTAGGGCTCCCAATGCTCCTGATTGGTAAAATAGCCTGCTTTCCATTTATCCTGCCTATCAGTTAGGCCTCATCTATAATACACCATTTATGTCTCCATTCCTATGTTGTTTGACATACACAGATTTAAAATGTTGTTTAAATCAGTCCTTAGTAGTAGACTTCTATATTGGAAAGAAGTTCATCACTGTGAGGGTGGTGAGGTGCAGTAAGAGGTTGCCCAAAGAAGCTGTGGATGCCCCATCCCTGGCAGTGTTCAAGGCCAGGCTGCACAGGGCCTTGAGCAACCTGCTCTAGAAGAAGGTGTTCCTTGGAACTGAAAGAGCTCTTAAGGTCCTTTCCAATCTGCACCAGTCTGTGGTTGTATGCCTTTTCTGGTGTCATTATTTCAGCACCCATGATTTCAAGTTTTCACTTCTTTATTAACAATTTCTTGTAATGGGCTGATGTAAAGACTTTTGTTATCTCATAAATTTAGAGAGTGAGCCCATTTACAAGTAACAGAAAGAAATACTAAGCCCATTTTTTTGATCTGGCTGCTGGGGGTAGCATCCCATGAACCTGGAATGTCATCACCTTTCTGATAAGCCTTCCAGCAAAGAAGACATTTTAAAAAGCAAAGGAGGAAGACCAGAGAAGTAGGTTTGAGGATGTGCTGAGCTTTTCCCAGACAGCGAGAAATACATATCAGAAAATACAAAAGGATTATGTGAATATACAAGGCTGGCACTGAGGAGGCAGCCTGGCATCACAGGGGAGGACCAATTCGTTATAGTCACTACAAGGGGAGGGGAAGAAGGGGACTGCTTGTGAAGAACATTGGCGTAGGAGATCCAGTGGGTTGTGGAAAGCTAGTGGAAGAAGCCTTAGTCAGAATCTCTAACAGCAGAAAATATCTAAAAGGGGAAAAAATGAGTTCTCCGTTTGCTTAGAACTTGGCTGTTGCTGGAAAGACTACAGAGAGCATTAATTATAGATATTTTTTTAATCCCTAATGATCAGAATTCACTTGCATTTTTTAGGTGTATACAAGACCTTTTTCATTTGCCTCTTCCGTGCTGCCCAGTGTAACACTGCTCTTCCAGATCAATAATTACGTCAGCTAGAAAACCTGGAAAAGTTTGGATTCTCCTTCCCTGTCATTGCTGGCACAGATGAAGTGTTCAGTCAGAGAGTGTTTTGCCACCAATGACACAGCAATGCTGAGAATCACTTTTAGTGTACTCCTCACCTTTATTGTTCTGCATAATAAACTATCCTTTAAAAAAACACAATCCACTCCCCAATGAAGGAGCACAGAGAAATTTCCATCAGTTCCCAAAACAGTCATGAAGCTCGTCCTGCCTGTGAGAAAACAGCCTCTTTAAGTACATGCCAAGTTAATCTGTACTAGACAGACAAGCACCTTTCTTTTTCTGCACCGTCTATAATTGAGGTCACCAAACTTAATATATGTGGCCTATTCAGATGTTCCATTTGAATGAAAGCATTTTTAATGCCACATAGCATCTAATTAAGAAGCAAAGTAGGGCAGGTAAAATGGTAGAAGTGGTCTGCAATAAAATTTCGATCTAGCTTGTGACATCCTAAGGAGAAAAAATTTGATAACACAACTCTTCAAGGTATGATAAAAACACACATAATGAAAATGGATTATCAGGCACATTAAATAAAACAGACTCCCATTTCTTTGATGCCTTGTAGCTGATATTTATTATGGAATCACAGAATAGCTAGGGTTGGAAAGGACCTTAAAATCACTCAGTTCCAACCCCCCTGCCATGGGCAGGGACACCTCACCCTAAACCATGTCACCCAAGGCTCTGTCCAACCTGGCCTTGAACACTGCCAGGGATGGAACATTCACAGCTTCTTTAAGCAACCCATTCCAGTGCCTCACCACCCTCACAGGAAAGAACTTCTTCCTTATATCCAATCTAAACTTCCCTTGTTTAAGTTTGAGCCTGGTACCACTTGTCCTGTCACTACAGTCCCTAGTGAACAGTCACTCCCCAGCACCCTTGTAGGCCCCCTTCAGACACAGGAAGGCTGCTATGAGGTCTCCAGGCTGAGTTATTTTGCTGCATTAGAACTTGTTAGGGAGGATGTTTTGGTGGATAGCGCATTAGGACAGGATGCGGACCTCCAAGGTTAGGCCTTGGTTCACTCACACACTCCCTGTGTGGCCTCAGGGAAACCTATGGGTCTGCTTCTGCAAATGGAGAATTAAACATAATGCTCCTTGGAGTGTTTTGAGCCTTGGAGGTAATAGACCGATGAGGGCAAGGAATGTGTGCAGATAAAGTTGTCAAAGTTTGTCTCAGTAGGATTCCCATGGGCAGTGTGGTGTGCAGGGTTCAGCTCACAAGGAGAGGTTTTGTCTGTGCGTTTGGAAATCACCGCAGTATCAGTTATTTCCTCATTTCATCTGGCAAGTTAAAAAATAGAAATACTTTAGAGGAACTGAGTGCAAAATATGTTTGCTGATGAAAGCCACAGAACAGTGCTTCTGTGGACAGTCTCTTGCCTCCACAGGTTATTAAAGTAACTGACCGGCATCAAAAATGGGTTGGGTCCTCTTTTGCTTGTTTTCTAATGAATAAAAGGGACATAATTTATTTACTTTGGTTTTCATTGCTGTCTTTCATTTTCTAATTTTAGAAATGGGAAGAAGGTTGGGTTTTTCTGGAGGGTTCACTGGGGATTTCAGATCTGCTTCTATGTCTCAATCCGTATTTAATTTGAAAGAAATGGGGCAGAGCATCTTTAACAAAAGAAAGCTTATTTTCCCTCTGATGTTAAAAGAGTTTTAATGAAACAGATGCTAATTAGAAAAAAATATGAGCTTCCAGGTTGCTGAAGTTTGAAGGCCATACAGTCTCAGAGCAAACATCCAGGTTGTTGAAAGCTGCACTAAACTTCACCTTTTCTTCTTTTCAGGTGTTCAACAACACATAACTATGACCGGGACAGGAGATGGGGACACTGTGTTTTGTTTCCCAAAGACCATAGAGGTAAAGCAAGCCATTGCTGAGTTGCTCCAGGTACCTGGCTTCTACTTTGCCACCTGCAGTAAGGAAAGACAGGGGACAGTGCCTTCCCTGATGCTTTTATTTGATGTACACAGAGCAAGCCTTCACATTAAATGTTTCCAGGATCTCTCTGTGACTGTGCATAACCATGACATGAGATTGTGAATACCACACAGTCTTTAATGCACTTTCTGTTGACTAGTTTGAAATCATGGGGAGAAATTATGGTAACATCAATGTAGAAATCTGAACTCTTGCTGGAGCTGAGCACAGAGGTGATCATCTCCTTCACAGGCTGGATGTTCCTATTAGGTTTCCTTTCATTTAATCAGCTGCATTTTCTGTCTGACCAGTTAGGTTTTTAGAAGGCACAGGAACATTTCACGGTTTGTACAACACACAGCCATCACTTCCAGCTCTGCTTCCTTGAGATCTCATGGTGAAGAGCAGACCTTCAAAACCAGACTTCCTTGGGCTTTGGGCTGTGTCAGAGAAGACAACAGGACAGACGCATTCATTGCAGGAGTACTGAGGGACCATGCAAGGGTTACTTTGGTGAACAGTGCTACAACTTCATGTGGTCACCACACTCCAGTGCGACAATTACCTCATTGTGAAAGTCTGTCTAAAACAGGAAGCCAAGGTCTGTGGCAAACTCTTCTTTCTATGTGAGTCACTTTCATTGACACGCTTGGTGAAAGCACCATGTCCCAAGCAGTTCAGTGAGGATCATGCGTCCCTGTCCTCAGGAGTGCCTTGATGGCTGGTCCTTGCTTGTCTCTGTCTCCCCAGCTCCATGCTTCATGAACTGGATGCTGGGGAATTTCATTTTATGAAGAACGTATGTACCTAATTCCTAGTCCATAGAGTGACAGACCAGAATTGAAAAATCCAGTGTTGCATTGATCAGACTTGATGCCCCTGAGGTTTTTTTTGGATCTTTGTCTAAAAGCTGATCCTGTTCCTCTTTTTTTCATCTAACCACTTTCAAATGCAACTTATCTTCCCTCGTCCATGGGATATAGAATCATAGATTAGTTAGAGTTGAAAAGAACCTTAAGATCATCTAGCTCCAACCCTCCTGCCATAGGCAGGGAAATATGACCAGATGTCCTTAGATGTTCATTTCCTACTTTCAAATGAAGGACATTTTCCACCATCCCTTTGAAGGGAGTTTGCTGCCTGTCAGGAGTCTCACCGCCAAGCTGACTGTAATCTACTAGAGTGCTTGAAAAGCCAGCGTTAGCTGAATCATGCTGACAGTCTAAAATTAAACAGTGCACAGCATCATCACTTTAAACTTAACAACTTCAAATTATTTTCCAGCTTGGCTTTAAAACAGATTAACAGTAGATCAGAGACAAATGGCCTAACCCCGAAACAAGCAGCAATGTATGTGCCTTTGTAACGCAGTATGTCAGACATGAACCTAGACTTTATAGACACTTATGCTTGCAAGAGTCAGGTTCATGAATGCCCTCCCAGAGCTTAAAATGTTGGAAGCTTTAACTAATGACTGCTTTAATCCTCCAGTACAATGCTGTCATGGTAGTGTCTGGCTTTTCCATGAACTCTCCAAGCCTAGTGTTGCATTTCTGGGGTGCCTTGTGTCACCTCTGTCCCTTAATCTGCCCATCACCATTGCGCTGTGAGCCCCATGTGCAGCCACTTCCAGCCTTTTTGAGCTTGCTGCCTCATTTTTGCCTATTACTCATCACAGTGTTGGTTAAGGTGGCTTGCAACAAGAAAGGCACTGTGTCTGCCTGCCCCTTGCTGAGGCAAACACGGTCAATATCATCTGTCATTACATTTTAATGTCAGTGAGGGTTACTGTTCTTTCTCCAGGAAAAAGAGGTTTTATGAGTTATATGAGTGAGAGAAGAAAGCAAAGAGAAAAAAAGGATGGGATAACTGAAAGAGATCATTGCTCGCTGATGCAAAGACGAGACTATTCCTGGAAGGATTAAGAAATAAATTAAATAATATAAATAAATAAATAAATTAAAGTTCTTTAGCTGTTAATTTATTTAGAAACATAAGTCTGCTTATATTTTTAAGAAGCAAACATAGTATTTGGTCTTGGAGACTGTTTAACAGATCACCATCCAAGAGAAAAGATTTACGGTGAGACTGAAAGGAAGGAACGGCATAATAGCTGAAGGGAAATTCAAGCAAATGGGAGGCAAGTTTGCCTGCTGGGGAAGATAGCTAGGAAGAAAGAAGCAGTCAAACAGAATAATGATAATCTTTAAAATGTGGAAAATATATGTTTTTGTTTTGTAAAATTGAAAATCTTTGGGGCAATCTCAGCCACTTTAGAGATGCTTAAAAAACAAGGAAAAAATAAATTTTGGGGGAGAGCATATCCTTTGGTCATGAGAGATTGGTGAGGAGTATGTGAACTGGGGTGGCGAAGGAGCTGCTTGAAAGTAAAGGTTGAAGCACAAATTCTCTCCAGACCAAGAATACCGTGTGTATGTGGGGAGCCAACTTGAAACCGTTGGATCTGCTTACAAATCAATGTTAAGCAAGTGTTGGAGGCATTGATCCAGAAAATGCATCTGCTAAATTCAAGAGAAAGTTTAACCAAAAAGGACTTAACATCAGGATGAAGTGAAGCTCAGGTAGGAAGGCTTTGCTGGAAGGACATCTTACTGTGCAGAGTCAGAGCTTGCTGTATTGGCACCCAAAGCCCTTGTTCAACCCACCCCTAAAATCAGTGGGAACTTTATCACTGCAGTCAGGGAGTATTTGCTTAGGTTTCCAGCTAATCCTCCACTCCTGCCCAGGAGATGCCTATGGAGACTGTGTAGTAGCTACCCAATGTGAGCCCGTGCATTCACATGGGCCAACTGATCTGTGCATGTATGTACATATATGCTTAAATGTGCAATGCCTCTATGTGTGGGACTTCCAGATTTTGGGCACTCTGTTAGGACTACTGCTCTGAATGTCTGGAAATCTTGGACAAATGACCAAAACCCCAGGGAGGCCCAGAGTTGTCAGGAAAGTGTCAGACAGTGGGTCTTTTAGAGACATTTGGACTCATATGGAAAGAAGAAGTAGAGCAGTGTGGGCTGCATAGGCAAGAGGAAGAGGCATCATCCCAGAAGGGGCTCTGGGGAAGAGCAGTCCTGGTTCTGGGGAGAAGAGTGGCAGAAACAGAAAGTTTTTGTGGGAAGATGTGGGTAGGCAGGGGAGACAAGAGTAGTGCTCATTCAGCAAGGCCTCAGAGAGGTGAAGCTGAAGTCAAGGTGATTGCTAGCAATCATGGAGTGCTTCACCCATGCGGGTGGGGGGATAATGCTGGGTGGCTTTAGGCATTGGCAGAGCAGGCAGGGACTTGGCACTCCCCAGTTAATGGGTAGATACAAGTGGGCAGGATTCCCTGCAGGGAACTCTGATGTGTCCATGTGCGTATGAATAGAAGATGCTCCTGGACTTCAGGAAAAGTGGGAAGAGATGCAGAGCACCCCAGGGATGTCAGACCAGAGGGGTGGGTGGAATGTAGTGAAGAACTCCAGCTAGGAAAGAAATAGAGGACTGGAAGTGTTTTCTGCACGTTTAATGGGGGTATAAAAAAATTGCTAGAGCACCACTGTACCAGAATATGGTTTTGGAGACCAAGTCATGGTTTGCGTGTGATGGGAATAGGAAATACAGGATTTTCCTTTGAGAAAACATTACACCACTGAAAGTTTCATAACTATCCAACAGCAGGAACAGCAGGAATGTCACTGCCTTTACTTGTTTACCCTTGATATTATCCCACAGCGAAACTACCAGTGAATACATCCAGACCTGCTATCAGATAACAATTACACCACTCTGTTCTGAAGTAAATATTTTGATCCATGCAGGGGAGCCTCACATTTACATCACTGCAGCAAACTTCAGGCCGTACCTTCCATGCTTTGCTTCAACCCCGTATGTGTGTGCCTGTTTCTATATGTTGCATCCCATGCTTAAGTCCCACACTCTACTGAAGGAGCACCTGGATTGAGTAACCCTAGAGTTGCCTTTGCAGAGTTTGACTAGCATTAAAAAAACATTTGAATGCAGGCAAGCTGCTGGGCCAGCTCTGCAGCAGGTGTAAAACATGATGTTGGTTAGCTTCAGGGCAGATCCATCCCTCAGCACTGCCTGAAATCAGGAACATTGCCTGGCCAGCAAGACTCTTACGACTTTTGCATTGCATCTTGCCAAGTAAAGCTTCTGTCACAGGAGTTAGAGAGTTTCCTGGCACATCCCTTCCTCTCCCACTATATTTTCCCATGAGTTAGAAATCCCTTAGAAAACAGAGATATACTAGGCTGATCCAGTTTAATCTTGCTTGGCCTGATTTACTTGGACATGTCCTTGCCTTGCTTTATTTTATTTCCCTTTGTTCCAGCTGTCCATTAGTTTTGGCATAATCAAACAATCCATAGCAAATTCTTCTGTCGAGGGTTGTCCTTTGTGTAATTTGAAAGGGAGTTGCATGGCCCTGGTCATTGATGCTGAAGCGAGAAGCATGCAGGGCAGTAATCAGGGCAGAGACAGAGCTTCAGCCTTCCCTCCTCAGTGTAAAGGCACAGCTCCATCTTGTGGGCATTTGTCCCATCTTCTTCCTCACCACGGTGGCAGCTCTGGCAACTTCGTGCATGTCTCGACCTGCCACCTTCGAACAAGTTACTCTGGGGAGAAGGTTCAACTCAGTGATTTACCAAATGGTTTTTGAAAGCTGAATAAATACAGCTGCTATACAGCTGGAAACGAACCCAATGTAAATTGGTTGAATAAACTTTGTTCTAAGTTAATGATATTAAATTCACTGTGCATTGAACCAAAATGGTTCATGGAACCAAGCTGATACCTGCTACAACAAAGCATGGCTTATCTAGTGCCTACTGACAACAACTTCTTGTGTTGCATGTCTAGATCACTGTGCAAACAACCCTTGCCAAAACGGAGGGACCTGCTCTCCTGCACATGGCCATCGGAGGTACCACTGTTCCTGTCCCGAGGAATTCACAGGCGAGGACTGTCAGATGAGTAAGTGTCTTCTTCCATGAGTGTTACAACATGAAATACGAGCAGTATGCACAGCTTGTTAATGTTTGCTTAATGAAAAGGTAGTGCTGTTGTGATGGGAGAGACCAGTGCAGCACGAATGCTTGTGTAGGTGGATTTGCAAATGGTTCTGACAGACAATCCATTACTGACAGGACAGCAGAAAATAGCTTGATTATACAATCAGGAGAGACATTAAGCTGTGGGAAACACACAGAGCCTCTTCCCCGCCCTTTGCTGGTTTTAAGATTTAAATATCCCTAACATGCTTGGAAATTACTAATAATATCATCTAGTATGTAGGGCAGAGAAACATGAAAAAGCAGCAGAATTTCAGGTGATGCTTTTGTCCTTTATGTACATGCACACATGGGTCTATCACAACTTTTCTTGTGATGTCCGCTTTGCACTTGGGCAGCTTCAGGGTAGTAATTTTCAATGACAGTTAGGCCAAAGGGCTTTGTCTGGGGTATTTTTCCAGTTTTATGGTGATGCCATTCCCTATTTGCTGTGTGTCAAGCAAGGAATTAGTCTTTTAAACTGGGGGGTTTCAGCTGTGCTTGCTGCTATTTATTGAATGCTTTTCATAAAATCGTTTGGGTTGGAAAAGATCCTTCAGGTCATTGAGTCCAACTATTAATCTAACACAACCAAGTCCACTACTAAACCACATTCCCTGTAGCTCTAGACTTGTCTCCCAACAATAAGCAACAAAGCCCTTTTCAGTCCTGGTGATCCACAGCCCATCATCTTAGATGGTGCAGTAAAGTGGGACAGACACAAGTATATACCACTGATTTGAGTTTTTGTGTTTGCTGAATGAACTTTTAGAAGGACTTAAGTAATTGTGATGCTGTCATGATCATAGGGCTTTAGGAGAAACCTGCCTCTGCCTTAAGGTCCTGGAGCTGCTGCTACAGTGTTTTAGTACCTTCACGCTATGAAGGCTGGCTTGCTTAGAAGCATTGTCAACAAACATCTATTTGCTCAACAGAAGAAAAAAGAATGAGCAGCGAATGATGGAGATTGTGGTGCCATTACCTGTGAGAAATAACCTCAGAAAGCCTGTGTTGTTTTTAAACTGTGTTTCAGAGAAATGTTTTGACAACAGTCTCTATGAGTTCTTTGATGTGGGCATGAGCTGGTCAAGAGTCCAAGAAGGAGCTGTGGAGCAGTGCATGTGTGTGGACGGCCAGATTGAGTGTGAGAGTGCTGAACACAAAAGTAAGGCACTATTATCTGTTACAGCTATTGGCCTGCTTGGAGTGGGGATAAAGGACAGCAAGGATTTCAAAGCTGAGCAGCGATACACACAGTAATACTGCTTTTGCAGTTTAGGTACTCTCCCCGAAAGAGAACGTTTCAGCTTTTCTTTCTATGTGTGAGCAGTAATGCTGACCCAGGAAACCACTTTATTGTGTGCATTTTTATTTGAGCAAGCAATTATATGCATTAATACATTATATTTAGGGACATATGTCAGTGTTTTCTTTGAGAGGGATGCAATCCTGATCTGCCTTACGTAAAACTGTGCGACAGATTACATAGTTGAAGTGGTAAAATTTCTCCCCCAAACCTGTAACATGCCTGAGGCACACCCTCCTCTACTCTTCCCTGCACACCTACAATTGCTTCATATTGCTGTTTCACCTCCGGGTTTTCTTCCCAATCCTATCCCACTCTTGCGTTGCCATTGTATAAACTCTACCTGCCTCCAGGATCCCACATGCCCTGTAACAGCCCCAGAGTCCCCATGATTTTTGGCCCAACATCCCCACCGCTGGCTGGAGTGATGCTTATGTTATGAAGCCTCGTCCTTGTTTTGGGCCTGCGAGGTGCCCAGCTCAGCTGGCCAGATAGCTGCAGGGTATGTGCTTTGGGTTGTCACTTTCCTGATGAAGCCAGCACAGCACCTCCCTTTTGGAAGGAGAGATTATGATAAGTAAACCATATGCCTCACCTATATGTATGCTCTGGTATGGCTATTGTGCTGTTCAGTCTGGCTGACTGTTAACCTCCCAAGTAACTTACAGTGCCAAGTAAGCTTCATAAAAGTCCTTTGAAATAGGTAGAGGTGTTTATTTCCACCTTACAGAACTGGAAATTAAAGGATGGAGAGTTGGTGGCTTTCTACAAGTCTTTACTAAGCTTTATTTAGGAGAGTAGCTGGCTTTTCTGGGGGATCCATGGAAGACTTGGGAAATATGATAGGACTTAATATGTCCCAGTCACAGATTCTAAATATTTAACTGAGCTCCCTACTAGGTACAACACTATACATTTTAATGCAGCTCAATGGCAAAGTTGGAATTGGCAGAACCCTCTGTACAGAAAGAAGTGCTAATGCCATCACCATCACCACTAGTAATAATAATCACCACCCCCATTTTACCTATTGTTCATTGATAATATTTTTCAATAGCTAGGCTGACATTATCCAATAAGAGTGAAAACAATGAGACAGACCTCAGTGGGAAGAAATCAGCAGAGTTTCCTTTATTTTACATCAGGTGTACGCCTGAGATGAGTAAAAAAGGGAAAACTTCCCCAAACTGCACATGCACAGAGAAGGTGTACGAAAGTGAGTTAAAATGGACTGATTTTCCTGAATAGCTTGTACTTTGGTTTGACCTTTCATTTCTGCTTACAGCTTGTGTTCATGATCCTTGCCTGAATGGTGGAGAATGTAAAATGGTTACCCTCAGTGGGAAAACAGTGTGTGATTGCAAAGGAAATTTTGCAGGAAAGTATTGCAATATTGGTAAGTATAGCAACCCACTGCTGGGCAGAGAATTTGGAGTTTTCATCTGAGTGGGTTTGGCCTGTGTGTTGTATTCTGCCTTTGCAGACATTTCTTGTAGTAACTGAAGAGTCACACAGAACAAGTGATTAATGCAGTCCTCCGGCGTAAAACATAACACGCTCTTCACCACCAACACCTCGATTCTAAAAATATTTGTTCATGTCCTTGACTCCATGGAAAATTAAACACAGAATTCTTAATCCAATTATTCATGCCCATAAAATAAGCTCATAGCTCCATTTTGCAGCGTCAGTCTCAGAGCGGTACTCTACTGCAAACACTTCCCCACTCTATGCAACCCTTCATGGAGCAGGGATTTATACTTTGACAAAATCTGGCAGTTGACTATATTTGGTAGCACCAGATTATTGTGTGAAGTAGACTAAAAGTACACACCCTTTGTTTGAGTTATCTACTTCTTTAATTTAACAGCACCTTTAGCCCAGTATAGTTTACCTAAAGACCTTTAGTGGAACTGGTGTATCAAGGCAGAGAAATCTGTTTTTTGATGCCCACGTTAGTTCTGTGTGGTTTCTTATTAGCCGTGACATAGTTTTTGATATAGTTTTCCTCCATAAGGCTTAACATTTCTCACTGCAGAGGTTAAAACTGCTTGTAAAGCTTAATTGCATGCTAAATCCTCAAGTTATATCAGTGGCTACTTTTCAAAGAGAGCAGGTTTTAGGCACAAATTACAATAGACTTTTATTCATATCGGTCTTTGATCCCATCAATTTACTGGCAATGTCTTTCTGAGTATATAAATCCCAGGGCTCATCAAAATTGAAGACAAGGTTCCCAGTAGCTATGTGGTCACCTAGTTGTTCTGAGAGCATGGTGTGGTGAAAAATCATGGTAATGAACAATGGAATTGGCGTCTGGTGTTCTTTTTTTCGTATTCTGATAGCTGACATGCTGTAGCCAGCTATTTAAGCTGGGGAAAGAAATGATCTGGGAGACCAGCAGTACACCTGGAATAACAAATAGCAGAACTGGCAAATTAAATGACATATGAACTGGTCTTGAACCTTCACTCACCAGGTACCAGATGAATTGTGCAAAATGGGCTTGTGATTAAGTCCTTCATAAGGAGCAATATTTTAGTGATATCTGGATTTTTGTGCTGTAGTTGTGCTAGGGACACTTGTCCCATGCTTTGTGAATGCTGCTGCATGGATGTGAGTGAGGGGCTGTATGTGTATGACACATGTGAGACCTGGTGTCCTGGGCAGAACTGTGCACTGTTCATCTTCACATGAAACTGCTTTTCCAATTCCTATTTCGTTATCAGCTTCCCATGCCCAAAATGTGCACAAACATTCACCCAGCATGTCCTGGATTATAAATATCTGGATGACAGTGTTATAGCTGTAATACTGGTTTCTGTCTGCTTAGCTGAAACAAGAAATAAGCAGGTGCTCTTTGATTACTTGAAAATAATCAAGCACACATTTGGTTTGCTAAACAAATGGCTCTAGATGCTTACAATCCATCTGCACTCAGCTGCCTAACACCCCCACACAAAACGGGAACTGGAGGATTGTGTGTATGTGTCAGGGCCTTGCAAATGAGTTTAGAAACGGAAAAAAAAAAGCCTCTTTGCCAGGATTTAGTAATTCTAAAATTAAGTTGGTGCTGGAGCCTGTAGACATGATGGCATCTTCACACCAGGGCCATGACGTTCTGGTGCAAGCACCCAGAGCTTGTGCTCTGAGAGCACACAGAACTGACTTTTAAATATATGTTGGATTAATTTTTTCTTCAAACCTTCAATTTGATGCTGTGAGCACATCTGGCTTTTTGCTTTCTTTTCCTTTTTTACAGCCTTGTATAGTTTCCCTTGTCTAACAGGACTGAATTGTGAGGTCACCCTTTAGTCTGAATGGTTTATGCTTATAGTGCTTGATACAGAGCAAGTTACAGTGTCTCCAAAATGTACTTTATTCTAAATTATTCATTTATAGAAGCAACCCAAATTGGGATGCAAAAAAATGTCTTCTTTCTGGTTAAATAAAGAAAAAATTCAATAAACAATGAGTACCCTGAAATATTATTGGGCTGTGATGTTTGAGGTCTCCCCAATGTCCCCTGCCCTTGACTTCTACAAAGAATAACCAGTATTCATGTGTTTCTAATGGAAAGCCAGGTAATTTATCTTGATGTCACCCTCTCACCTCAACCCCAATATTAATAAATGAAATGCCATCCTGGGTCAGTTCTAAGTATTATTGTGACTGGCACTGGCAAAGCAGAGGATGTCTGCTACTTTGTAGAGTCTACAGTAAAGTAATGTAAATAGCAGGAAATACCTAGGAATTCCTTTTCCGGGTTGAGCATTTTCTTAGCAGGTAGCTGGACCATCATATTTGATAGACCTTTACCTGTTTTCCTTGAATTTGTCTAAACTCTTTAGAACTCCTTCATACTTTTCCCTTTCACAGCATGCCATGTCAAGAAGTTCCAGAATTTAAATAGATGTGATGAGAAACAGTATTTTCTATTGTTAGCTTAAAACCTACTGCCTGATAATTTCATTTCCCCCCTCTGAACAGTGAGTAACAGAATAATCATAACTTTTGTGATTTTGCAGCTACCTATTTATCTGTCCATTGTTCCTTTTTTTGGGCTACAGGGTCCCTGTCAGTACTCAAAAATCATCTTTTCACTGATCTTAAAATTCTCTTGCAAACAATAATTATATATATATATATGTATATATATTGCCAAGCCATTATCATAATGGCCATGCAGCTACTGGCGAATGATGAGCTGACAAAAAAATATGGGAGGTGATAAAAGTAACATAGGAGATATCTATAAAAAAAGGAGATTGATATACAAAAGACAGTTTCTAATATAGATTTCTATTCTTTGTGGTAACACATTATTTTCTAGTCCTTAAAGAAGCAACCTTCAGTACTAAAGAAAGAACTGCCATTTTAAAAGAAGTTCTAACAGAGTTTATATGCATAAGATTTCAGTACAGTTTCAAAGGAAATCAGATACACCACCAACAAATTTGTTCCCAAACAGTGCTGTTTAAAATTGTTCAAAAATCCATTTCAAATTAAGTTTAATTCATAAAAATTGCCTTTAAACATGCACTTATTTTCAGGAATAAGGATTTTGTATTAAGAGAGTATTTACATTCACTTCAGAGGCAGAGATCTTGCTGATTGAGATCTGGACCCAGGCTTTAGGTGAGGATTCATAATTAATTATCCAACCATGAGTAACAATAGTAGTCTCATTGTACAGAGATGTTACAAAAGTGACCCAGACCCAATCACTTCATCAGTGATAAATGTGGGGAAGAAGTGATACCTCAGAAGGATGTGAGGGTGTTATTTTATCTTCAGCACAAGATGGTATAGGCAGGTGGAGTGGAGAGGTAATTTTCTGGGAGATGTTTAACTTCAGAAGTATTTAACTTCATTGGAGGTGATAACTTGTGAAAAACAGTTATGAACATGCAATTGTAAAATCACTTCGACATTTTATGTTTCTTTGAACAGATAGGAGTCACGATAGAGACGCTGGGTGAATGTAGAGCACACACAGCTAAAGGAAGAGGAGGAGCTATTTGGCCAGCGGACACATAATTCATTATGATATGAATTTATGGAGATGTTAAAGGGAATTGGAGGGTGAAGGAAGGAGTTGTAGATTTTGTATTAAGGGATTGGTGCTTTTAGGTTTCTGTGGTTGAAACCCCACTGTTGCATCCACACTGCTGGACTTAGCTGATATGCAGGTGGAAACAAATACGTATTTTGCCCCATTTCCTGGGGTAAAAGCACTTCCTTTTCCTTAACACTGCTTTGTTACAGATTTTGTGTGTGGGGTGGCAGTAAATTTGGGAGTCTCATTTATGTTTTTAGGTTTATTCCTGATTTACTGAAGAGTATGTTAGTGGGGAATCTTCATTCTGTTTAATGAGTTGCAAAGTTTTTCCTGAAATGTTTAGTCTCTGTAGGTGGCTTGGCTGTGTTACTGTTGATCAGAGGAATAGTTCGTAGTCACATGTGGATAACTGAGGTGGGATTTAACGGTACTTATTGCAATGGTTTTTTAGCTTTCAACTGGATTTTTAGGGTCTAGGATTACCTTAATCATTGAGTGGTACATTGTCTTTTATGGCTAGCTGGGGTTTATTTCTGGCCCATTTGTTGTGTTAGGACTCAGCAACAGTTCAGGGTATGTTCTTGTAGTACTATTTGTGAAGATAAGATAGCCATGTAATATTTATTATATTACATGTGATATTTATTATATTTATCATATGAAATATTTAGGTAGCCATGTAACACACTAAATCAGTGGAATAGATGAGATATGGCAAATTTTGATGTTTTTCATGATTAAGCTTAGAATGAAAAGTAAGCGGTGCATGGAGAGCCTGTCTGGATTTGTTTTATTGTGGTTGTGTGTTTCAGTAGAGGATAGATTTGGGAGCATTGGGAGGACAACATGGAGGATAATATGTTTCAACTTTTCTTTGGATTAAAGTTTAGGTAACAATGATGTTTTTGCTAGTGTTTTGGTCATGATGAAGTATGAAGTTGCTAAAGTTATTTTTGAAAGCTCTTCATGTTTTCTAGTGTTTGAATTAGAGGGGTACCATAGCTTTAAAGAAAGTATGAGTTGGAATGCTAATTGTGGAAGGCTTATGGTTACATAAGGAGATGTGGTGTTGTATGTCAGAAATAGGTTGAAGATTTTTAGAAAAGGGAGATGACAGAATAGCTGAATATATAACTACATACAGGGAAAAAAAACTCTAGGCCAAATCTTTGGGGGTTAAACTGGGGGAGTTTGAGGTAATAAAAGAAGAGAAGAAGACAGCAAACCCACTCTTTTAGTGGTTGTTTTACTGAAACAGGGTGTTTGCAGTTTTCTGCTAATGTAGGTACTTCAGTAAAGGAAATTCAGCTCTGGAGGCTGGAGGGAAAGTTTTA